GGGTCGTACCTGGGGACCAAGGGAGATCTGTCTGCCCAGGACTGGCATCAAAGCCACAGGGAGAGGTGGGGCCTGCCAGACATCTGCCTTTGGGGGAGGCAGTTTGTGCTCTGAAGAACCTCTCTGCTTCTCCAGCAGTAAAAACCCCTCCTGACAGGCAGTGCAGATGGAGATGACAGCACTGCACAGGACTAGATCCTGCCTGTGACTGCTGGCATTGCTGCTGTAACTCTAGGGGCGGCCCAGCAGTGCTCCTTCCACCACAGCTCTAAACCTGGCTTGGAAATGGAGAGCGCTATAGATCTGAGGTGCCCCAAGTACTATCACAGCCCCCTCTATTGGGTCTTGGTGCGTAGAAGAGGACCTAGGGACAAGCCTTTCCTGCCCACCGTGCCAAGCCAAAGCCAAGCACATGACAAGAAGCCAGCTCCTCTGTGCCCATGAGACAGGGAACTGGAGCTGCCAGGTCCTCAGAGCAATGCCACAAGGACTAAGGCCAGGCTGGAGAAGGGGGATGAGCTTCTACTGGCCAGAAACAGGAAGTCAGTGGGTCCCTTCAGCCTCCCTTGGTGCAGGAGAAAGAGCCCATGACAGCTCCTATCTGCAGTGGGGTGATCAGTGGCCACACAGGGCTGGCCTCGAGCAGTGCTGACACTGACATTGTGTGTGGAGTCTCAGGTGGCTGAGCCAAGCCCCGGGCAGAGCCACTGGGGAGGTCAGGTTTATGTTGCAAACCAAATACTGCATGTCAGGTTGCCATGGTTACTCCTTTTTTCTTTTAGTAATCCCTTGGGGATCCAGTGGGGATTTAGGAAACAAACCTTGTCATTTAAATGGTGAAGAGAGACATGGAGGTGAAGACAAGAAAGCCTGAAGGGCAATAGGAATCTTACAGGCAGTAATTCGACCTTAAAATGAACCCAGGCAAACCAGAGAGCAGGTCAAGGCTGGCTCTAGATTGAACCCCCTGCACGGCCACATGGGGCCTGTCTTACCTGCTCAGGCTGCTCACAGCATGCTTGGCCTGGTTCCTGGCATCGTTCTGGTCTTCCCCACCCGCAACGTAGATGAATCCATCCATCACCACCACACACTGGTTAAAACTCTTTGCTGGCATCTCTGTCAGCTTATGCCAGTTTCCCTCTGCATCCCGGTAGCTGATCTCCCTGCTCAGAGCCTTCTCAGTCAACGCTGGACGACCCCCAACTGTGACAAGCACCCTCTGGCCTCCCCGTATCCTGGTTCTCCGAGACTGAAGGCTGTTCTGCTGGTGGGGGAGCAGGTGATAATTCATAGCATCGACAAGGAGCTTGTGGCACTGTGGATCTTGCATCATGCGTGGCACAGGCTGCACATGGTTGACCAAGTCTGGAGCAGACATTGTGCCAAAGCGAATGTTGCTCAGGAGGTCAGCAGCATACCGGACCCGTTTCGGGTCAAACTCCAGCCACTTGACAGCAATCTGGAAGGCAGCAACCTCGCTGGGTATCTGCAGGCCATCGTCCATCAGCAGCTCATTGATCTGATCGAAGGGGAGCTTCATGAACTGGTCGGTCTTGGAGAACTCCAGGAAGTTTTCCCGGATGAATTCCCGTGTGGCATCTCCCACCTGGCTGAGGCCGAAGGTGGCGGAGATGTTGGCGATGTAGACGCAGTTCTCCACAGCCAGCTCCCGCATGAGGAAGTCGCTGCACATCTTGAGCAGCGCCGGGACCTGCAGCCGGGTGGCTGCGGCGATGGTGCTGCCGATGGTGTAGAGTGAGAGGCTCAGCTTGCCTGTGTAGGCATAGGTGATGGTGGTGGCGAGGCCCAGCGGGGACACGTCGTGGAGCTCCACGCGGTGCAGCTGAGGGTCCCTCCGCAGCAGGCGGTGGAAGTACTCGCTGCAGGAAGCCAGGACGAGTTTATGCACCTCGAAGGACTTTGCTTTGGTGGCGATGGTGAGGTCGCAGAGGAAAAGCTTCTGGCGCATCTGGTTCATCCCCTCCAGAAGGCTGGCTCCGTGCTCGGGGGCTTCGACCTCCGTGGCTGTGCAGTGGAAGCCGTTGGAGCCGCTGTCGTACAGACTGTTCAAGTGATTGAGGTGTTGGACATCCAGCAAAGCATCTTCCACCGGCACCGGGGGGGTGGATGCAGCCTCTTTATCCACCTTGGGCTTCTTGGGGGGTTTCTTTTTGGGTGCCATCTTGATAGAACCAGAATGGGACCTGGGGAGAAAGGAGAGGTGAGGAGCCCTGGAGCAGGGGTGCAGGCATCCTGCTGCTCTTTACGACATTCAGTGAAACAAAGGGAAACCTCCCACTGACTCAACACTCTTTGGGTCAGCCCAAAGGAAGGATGGAAACTGCCTCCCAAGCCCTGTGTGAAAGGCATCGAGGGCCATGACTGCAAGAGGGGATTCTGGACTCTCGACCAGCCCTAGCACTGTGATAAGAGAGGAGTGGGATTTTGGGTGGAACCGGGGAGCACCACTGGTTCCTGGGGTGCAGAGCCATGCTTGCTCTGCTGGCTGGGCTGACACAGACTCCAGACAGAGCGAGCCAGAGATCACAGGGTGTGTTTCTGCTGACTCAAGCCCACGTCAGATGGGGCTGAATCAAGTCCCAGCGGCTCTGATAGAGGTTCCTACACAGCAACAAGCTGAGATGAACCCCAGCACGGCAGGAAAAGGGGGTTCGTGTCCCCCACAGCCCCTTAGGCATGGCGAGGCATCCGGCCGACCGCTTGGGCTCGTTGGGGTCAGGGTGCAAGTGAAGGGGGGGAAGAAAAACAAGCAACAATAATGCAGGTTTTGAATGTTCCCCAGTTCCAGTCTGAAACTTGGCAGGGACTTGAGGGAGCTCAGAGCAGCCAATGTATGAGGGAAGGGATCTGCCGGCCAGAAATAGCTGTTACTGTGCTCACATGTCTGGGGACTGTTTGTTGCCCTTGGCCATCAAGATCAGGTTGCTCAGAACTGAGTCATCGGCTCGCATTTAGCACAGGGCAAGGGGGGAATGATGGGACTTGAGCAGGAAAATACGGAGAAGGGAAAAGTTTGGTCCAAGTCCCTGCTGGGAAAGAGGATTCCAGGCTGAGCCCAAGGGGGAGCAGCGGGGCTGGCCCTGCTGCAGGGAGCAGGGAGCCAAGGGGACTCAGGAGCAAAGCCCCAGGCACTTGAGCCATCCCTGGCATTGCGGTGTTCCACAGGGATGCCCCACTTTACAGCGTGGAGAGCTCATCTGTCACAGTGTCACATCCTGGAGCGGGCGTCAGGCCCTCTGGAACTCGGGCGCAAATCCTGTTCTGTGTGTGTTTGAATATGGAACGGCTTCTGACACGCAGCTCCAGGCTGGGAACAGGAACCGGGATTGACCCTATCCCAGCACCAGCACTGGGGTGTTCCCAACCACACCTTTTGTTCAGACTATCCGTTCCCCAGGAAAATTCACAGGTTCAGCTTTTCAACCGAAATACAGGTGAAATAGTAGAATTTCCCAGGAAATTCCAATGTTTCTCCAAGTCTTCTCCCCAGATCCCTCAGACCTGTGTCCTGCCGTGCAGCACTGCCAGAGCATCCCTGCTGCCCAACAAACTCAAAGGGAAGCAGGACTTGTCCCATCCCCAAAAGCCTTCTTAACTCCTCCAGGGGAGCCCAGCGATGCAGCTGGTTTCTCCATCCCCTGTCCACCCCATTCAGGAGACAAGGGGGAAGTTGTTCTGGGATGCAATAGAGGCCTTCTAACTGCATCCCACACAAGCACAGTGGAGCCATGAGACGCTCTGGGTTCAGTGATGTCCATGGCTTCCTGCCTGTCCCTTTGGACACCTTTGACCAGCTCCCATAGGGAACACGTGCTTGTGCTATTCCAGCGGGTGGCTGCGGGAGGGCAGAGCGACCTTTCCTACCTGCACTTAAGACAGGACATTGTGCCTGCTTCTGGCTGCAATACCACCTGAAAGGGGTATTTTTCCTACAGCTTAATCCTGGCTGCTGGATTAATCCGGGGAGCTGCAATAGTTTTAAGGAGGCCCCAGACAGAAAGAAGACTGCTTCTTTCTGGCTGTTTTAACCTCCCTTAAGAGACAGTCGTTGTCCTCACATCCTTTCAGTGCTGCTGATCTCAGCCCCACAGCACAGTCCTGAGCGCACGGCACAGCAGGATGCCGCAGTCTCAGCGGGTTCCAAGGGGCTCATTTCCTTCAGTACCCCACCAAACAGAGCTCCTCTCCTTCACCTGCCCCGGCCCCCAGCCATGGGTTCAGGCAGGGGCTGAACGCTGCAGCTCTGGGCCCTCTTCTGCTGCCAGCCCCGTGTTAGGAAGCCGCTCTCCCAATGCCCATTCCTTCCATTCCCGTGTCCCACACAAGCCCTGCGGGTCCTGCCGCCTGCGGCTGCTCCTTACCTTGCCGTTAAGCCCGGTGAGTCCAAGGGGAAGCTGTGGGCAGCGCAGGGCCCCTCTACCTTGCCCCGCTCTCCCCGCCAGCTGCCTGCTCTTATCACCTCTGCGGCTACAGCGGGCTTTGGGGTGAGGTGAGGACAGGACAGCTTCCCCCGGCCACGGCACGGGCTGGGCTCAGGTAGCGCTGCCCCAGCCAAGGGCATGGCCGCAGCCAGCGGCAGCAGTGGGGCAGGGTTACCTGGGCGCTGCCAAGGGCACAGCGGGGCAGCCAAAGGCCCGGCTCCACTGCTGAGGGGCTCAGCAGGGATGATGTGAGGAGCCCCAGGCCTGGACCAACGCAGCCTTTGGCCATGAACGAATCTAAACTCCTCCTTCCCACTTACTCCAGCCGCCGTGGTGGAGCCATGTGCCTTCGGGAGGCAAAAAGACCGGGCATGGAGCGGCTCCTGCGCTGTCCTGACCATGGCGGAGCGGCTCCTCAGCAGCGCCCGGCCCGCACTCAAGATGGCGCTGCGCCTCCGCCGCTGCCAGGCCCCAACATGGCACCCGCAGAGCTCTGCCCTCACCCGTCATGGCCGCCACCGGGCCAGAGCTGCGCTGCGCCGCTTCCGCTTCCTGCCCTTAGCCAAGATGGCGGCAACGGCGGGCAGATGCTGTGCGGGCAACGGGCGGTGAAGCCGCTTCCGCCGCCGCGGCCTCGCCAGCAATAAAAATGGCGGCGTCGGTGCTGGAAGTTGTGGGCAAGCTGCAGTCGCGGCTGGCGGGCAGCTCCGAGCCCAAGAAGGTGACGGGGGGCGGCGGCGCGGCCGGGCTTCCCCTTCCGCGGCAGGGCCGGCGCGGCGGGGCTGGGGGTCGGCAGGGTCCGGGCCGTCCCGTGGGGGGGCACGGGGAGCGGGGCCTGCTCTGCTCTGCTCCGCTCCGGAGTGTCCTGGCCGGCCGGGGCCGCGGGGGAGGCGGGCGGCTGTGCCTGCGGGACAGAGCTCGGGGCTGTCCCGAGTGGGATCCCCCCCACCCCGGGACGGGCCGCGCAGGCCCTGCCTGCCACGCTGGAGGCCCGCGGCGACAGGCGGGGGGCCCGGGGGCAGGCGGGCAGCGGGAGGGAGGCCTTGCCTTGGGGACGTGTTCGTGCTCCGGAGCCGCGGTGCCCACACGGGGGGACGGGAGGCCCGGGGCAGTGGCAGGGCTGCTTTGATGGCCGGGGTCATCAGCGCTGACTCTGCCCCGGTCCCTGCGCTGGGCTGGGGGTGGCTGCTCGCTGCCCCTCGCCCGTCTCCGCGAGGGAACGTGTCCGCTGCCAGAACCTGTTGCCCGCAGCGGCTGTCTTGGAGCGGCTGCAGTGTGCTCCGGCCCGTGCGGTGACACGGGGCTGTGGTTGGCAGGAGCTCTCGCAGAGCCCTGGGTTGAGCTGCCTCGTTCTGCGGCTGCGATCCGGAGCCGTGCTGGAGCTCAGGTGCGGGCCCAGCACGTGCTGCCATCCCTGCTCTCCTACGTGCAGGGAGGAGCATCTGGTGTGACGGTTTCCAGGTGTCCGGTGCGTGTTTCACTCAGTTCAGGCGCAAGAGAAGGCAGATGGGGCCGTGGAGCCGCTCTGCGCTCGGCTGACTTCAACCGAGGCACAGGGCTCGGTTGGGAGGATGGACACTGAGCTGCTCAGTTGCCAGCCCCTTGAAACAGAGTCCCCCATACCCAGCTCCAGCCGTGCCAGGAGTGAAGCAATGAGAGGCTCAGGTTCCTTTTCTCACTCTCTCAGCCAAGACCAGAGCAGGGTTTAACTGGCAGGGAGCTGAGGGGCTGCTGAGGACTCGGTTCCAGGGGGGTTTGGGCTCTGTGGTGCTCAAGGCACGTGCAGGACTTCAAATATTGGCTCAGCGCGTTGTGCACAGAGAATCGCTGCTCCTGTTTCCTGACGCTTGCGTCAGCTCAGGCGGTAACTGCCTGCCTGTGCTGCTCGGGCACTGCAAGGCTCTGGGTGCTATTTGCACAGGCTGACTCTTTCTCCAGTAACCCTATGGTGCTGTCGTTTCTCTGTTGATCCTAGGAAGTTTTGCAAAGGGAGGGAGAGGTGCTGAGCATTTTCAGGCTGCTGTTAGCAGGGTAATGACCGTTTCCTTCCCCAGCAGAAAGAACCGTACTCCTTCTATGGGTAGTACCTTTCCAGCTGTATCCTTGTAAGTGATTCTAGCCTTGAATCTAGTTGCCATTGCATTGTCCCTACAGGTTGTGCATCATCTGAGTACCTTCCTGAGTTGGAAAGCAACAGGTTCCTCAGCCGTTCTGTAGCAGATACAGCTTTACCTGTGAGCAGGACAGGTCCACAGCACCTCCGGGTGCTACCCACACGTTGCACTGTTTCCAGTCTTTGGTTTTCTTGTCTTGTCCTTTGGAGTTCTTTTATCAGTAATGCCACACAGTGAGTTTTTATGGCTTGTGTCTTGTGGGGGGGTCAAAACTCTGCCCTGCACTGGGCTGTTTGAGAAGAGCTGTCTCATCTGTATTTCATGTGGCAGGACCCAGGCTGTGTGTGTTCTGTCTTCTGCCTGCCCCCCTTTTCTCATAGGATCTGGGTTAGTTCTGAGCTGAGCTGCCAGGCTGGGGTCTGCTTGGCTGGGTCCTGTGGGATGTACACCACCGGCTTGCTCCCATAGGAAATACAGATTAACTCAAGTTCTCCCCCCTCACTGCATTGGAGCTGCCTCCCTTGGCGCATCTCCTGTGCACGGACTTGTGCTCCACAGAGGCTGCCAGCCAGGAGAGGTTTTGCTGTGCTCTATGAACACAGCTCCCAGACGTGGCCTTCCTGGGGTGTTCCCCAGCCACGTGCCGCTTGGACGGCATCAAGGAGCACAGGTTTGGAGAGCTCAGATTGCCAGATAAGCGCGTTGCCCATGACGCAGGTAACAGAAATGCCCCGTTTCCTGATGGCATCGTTTGGAGGGTTTTATTGCTTGGTTGGGAAGTCTGAAGAGCTCGGATTGCGTGAGCATCCCTCATGGGCGTGCAGGTGTCAAAGCCTGCTGAAGGGACACGTAGGCAGCGTGTGGCCTCTCGGAACATCAGCTCTTGCTTTCTGGTTTTGTTAAGATGGGGGGGGTGTTTCCAACTTCTGCCTGCGGTGGGAACTGGAATGAGCCAGTTCCCCATGAGATGTGGTGTGGATCACGTGTGTAGTCCCCTGGTCTCAAAGCACACTTCCTATATGAGATCCAGAGATGAGCCCCGTTGAGAACAGTGCTTTTCTGTTTGGAATTCGGCCCTGAAGGCAGCAAATGACTAAAGAGCAAAAAGAGCTGTGGAAGATGCTAAGGTGGAGTGTAGCTAGAAAATAATTGGGAGGCTTTAAGGATACCATAAGGAGTTTTCCCTCATCAGTTGAGGCAGGCGGTGGGGCACATTACCTGCCTCAGATCCTGTGAATCCTTAAATAGCTTTTAACTAATAGCTAAAAGGGGGGAGTCTCTGTGCTACCCCAAGCTGCAGGGACAGAGGGCTTGAACACCCAGGTTAGAGCACAGCAAGAGCTGCTGCACCCCCATCAGCTCCCAGGTGCTGGAACATGGTTACTGGTGGTGTCACCGTCTTGCTCTTCTAAAACAAACACGAAAACCTAAACCTTTGGTCATGGTAATTAAGTCCTAAGTATAATGGAGTGGTTGCTGGTGAACAGAAACCATCCTGTGGTTCTGCTTCAGCTGCATGAGCCCTTATCTCTGTCTCGAGGAGTTATTTGCTCTCTGAAAGTAATTGACCCTTCAAGTCGGCTAAGAAAACTTCCTTCCTTCAAAAGGAAGGCAAGCTCTAAACCTCTCTGATCCTTGCACGGTGCAAGAGGAGGTGCTTGGAATAGCTTAGGTCAACGGTGCTAATTTGAGCATGAGCAGAGTGCTTTAGAGAGAAGATCTTCTGGATCAGGGACAGCCCTTTGTATGGGATACAGCACAGCAGTGCTGAACAAAGCCTGGGCTGTATAGGGGCTGTAATAATGCTGATGGGGCTGGTCTGGGGCTAGAGCTGAGCTGTGGGAAACAACACGAGGAGCAGCAGTGTGGTCAGATGTGCAGCTAAAACATCAGTGAAGTGATGCCCCAAACCTCCCGGGTGGCAGAGGTACCAGTGCATCCCCTTCACCTGCACCTAGCAGTCTGCCTTCCCCAGTGGCCAGTTTGTGAAACTTTAGGAAGGACGTTTCCCCCCTGCCCCTCTCAACAAGGAATGTCATTCTCAGCACCACCTTCTGACAGTCACAAGCTTCCAAGTCCTTCCACTTACTGTGCAAGAGCTGTGGGTGTCTTCCTGATGCTTTAAGCCAAAGCTGCTGAAAGTCCTGTGTGAGGAAAGCACTAACAGTGTGTTGTAAGACACTTTAAGATGGGCCCTCGTAGGCAAAGAGATGAGAATTCCTTTACTGTTGCCCCTCATGTTCAGCTCTCGGGAGCTCGATTTGGAGTGAGAGCAGCTGTCTGCCACTTGGATCTTTCTGACAAGCTCTCACGCGGTGCTGGGTTCTCTTCCTTTCTGGTGGTGCTGTGTGGTTCAGGATGACAAGTGTGAACGCTTTCCTCCTTGTCTCTACAGCTGCTGAAAAGTCTGAAGAGGCTGTCTGAGCTGCCCATCACGGTTGACATTCTTGTGGTAAGAGCTGTGAAATCTCTCGGGCTTCCATCGTGTCTGTCAAGGCACAGGGATAACTGTTTGCCATGGCCACCTGTGACAGCACAATGTCACAGGCACGGCTGAGGTTCTAGAATCCAGGCACAGAGAATCAGAGCAAGTGTAAAGCCACAGGGGATAGTTTGTCATCCTCAGCTCTTCCCGAAGCTTAATGCTTGACTGAGACGTGAGAGTCGGGGTGGATCCTAGCAGTAACTGAATCAGTATGGAGTTAGGAAACCGTAATCCTCAGAATTATTAGTGACTTCTGTCTTCAGACTTACCAGTGGCCATGGTAAATACTAGCTTGGCTTATTAACACAATTCATTAGTGCTTGACAAGGGTAAAGTTAAGTTGTCTTTTATTTACTGAATGCTAATAAATGATGTCCGTATCCTGGGCCGCATCAAAAGGAGCGTGGCCAGCAGGTCAAAGGAGGTGATCATGCCCCTTTACTCTGTTCTCATGAGACCTCACCGGCAGCATTGTGTGCAGTTCTGGACATGGAACTGTTGAAACAAGTCCAGAGGAGGCCATGAGGATGTTCAGGGGCTGGAGCACCTCCTGTATGGAGATAGGCTGAGAGAGTTGGGGCTGTTCAGCCTGGAGAAGAGAAGCTGCATGGAGACCTCAGAGCAGTTTCCAATATCTGAAGGGGGGCTATAGGGATGCTGGGGATGGACTCTTCATTAGGGACTGTAGGGATAGGAGAAGGGGTAACGGGTTAAAACTGAAACAGGGGAAGCTTAGACTGAATATAAGGAAGAAGTTCTTTACTGTGAGGGTGGTGAGGCACTGGAATGGGTTGCCCAGGGAAGCTGTGAATTATCCATCCCTGGCAGTGTTCAAGGCCAGGTTGGACAGAGCCTTGGGTGCCATGGTTTAGTGTGAAGTGTCCCTGCCCATGGCAGGGGGGTTGGAACTGGACGATCTTAAGGTCCTTTCCAACCCAAACTATTCTAAGATATCTCCTGAAAACACAGTGTATGTGATATCCTTGCCCTTTGATCAAGAAGGTTTACTTCTACCTACAGCACTGGGTAGCGGGTTAACTTTAGTCACTTGGAGTTTAGCAGAGGTGGGAATGCTGACTGTTTGCTAATGAATTCTCATCTTGGCTCTCTCATGAAGGAGACAGGTGTTGGGAAGACCGTGAACAGCTTACGGAAACATGAGTTGGTGGGAGACTTTGCCAAGAACCTTGTAGCCAGGTGGAAGAAGCTGGTGCCGGTGTCCCAGGAGGCAGACAGGTACGTGACCCTCTTCACTTGGCTTCGTTGTGTTCTTGCAGTGGAGATCATAAACTTTTCTGGCCAAGGAAACACAGTGGAGGCTCTGAGAAAACTGGTAACAGAAATGTGCTAACCCTGCGTGGGGTTTTGCCTGGTTTTGGCATTAACTTCCTGCCTCTGGTAGCCGCAGCCCTTTGGGCTGCTGACACTGCAGTTTGCCGAGAAAGAAGGGGCTGATTTTCAAGAACTTGCAGTTTGATGAAGAGATTAACAGTAGATGGCAGGGAAATGCCCTTAATGAAGCAAGAGATGCAATCTGCTCGCTTCCCATTTTACAGTGCTCAAGAGAGGACGTTGTAGGCCCAAGGGAAGAAAGCAGCTTGCTTTGCATGGCTTTGATGTGCGAGCATCCTATGGAAAGTGCAGGTTGATGCCAGCAAGCATGCTGCAGTAACCAAGCTGTGTGCAACTCAGCAGTGAGAGGGTTAGGGTTATCAGGTTTTCCTGATCATTTCAAGGGCTGCGGTATCCCTGCATGCTGGACAGGCACCATGCAGCCAGGAGTGTGCAGGCATGGAGGAGTCTCTGTATGCGTCCGTCTCTGCTTCCCAGTGTACGGTGAAGTCTCAGTCCTAACCAACGAATTCCTGCACTAGAAATGCAGTTCCTAAATCCCTGAATGCTGCTGTGCCTGAGAGAATTCATGCTTTTTCTTGCCTCAAAACTGTCAAATACACCTGGAGTCTTTGGTGAGACAGGTTCCCCTCCGCATAGTCCATGGGAAGTGGTTCTTCTTGTTTTTTGATGGTTTAATCTATTTTGTTTTCTTATCCCTTTAGAAATAACGTAGATTCTGAAGACCGTGACTATGAGAGGAGCAGTTCAAGCAAAAGACATCAGGAGCCCTCCCTCAGAGAGGATGAGGAACCTGACCAGGAGTATTCAGAACCCTTCCAGCCATCCTGCAGCCAGTCTTATAGCCCAGATCATAGGGAAAAGAAGTCCAAAAGGTATCCTAGGCCTGAGAGAGTCCATGAGACTTACAGCTATAGCGGCCACGAGGGGAAGGGTTGGGGCAGATCTTCCCCAGTGCTCTCTTCAGATCAGGAGTATTCGGACTGTGGACAGGCTGGGTCACCTGAGCCAAGTGAGAGCCCTCAGGACATGTACACAGACCCTTATGCCTCTGAGGAGCAGGAAGAACCAACAGTATTTCATCGGAAAGCCAGTAAAGGCCACAGCTTTCAGGAGAAGCTGCAGGGGGGCCGGGAAAGGAACCCTGGTGAGTTCCATGACAAAGGGAATGTGAGTCGAAGCAAAGATCATAAGTCTCACAAGAAGCAGCGACTTGATGGCAGAGAGGAGGACAGGAGCTCTGCCTTCAGCCCAGAACGATTGCACAAAACCTCTTTGAAAGAGCAGCTCCAAGAGGCCCCCGTGGCATGGGGCAGCAAGGAGAAGCAGAGGATGTCAGATGGCAGCAAGAAGGAGAAGAACCGAGAGAGTGGTGCTTCCAGAAAGGAGAAGCTGCCCATGGTGCCGCACGCAGGGGAGGCTTTGGACAACCACGTTAAGAAGCAGAAACATCGGGACTCTGAGAAAGGCAAATTGGAAAAGCCCAAGTTGAGCTTGGAGCCCTCGAACTCTGAGCGGGAGAAACGAAAAGCTGAGAGTGACTCCTCAAACAGGGTTAAAGAGAAGGGGATTTCTGGGAGCTTAAAATCTGCAGAGGGGAAGCGCAAAGCCTCTGACCCAGACAGAAAGTCTGTGGGCTTCTCCTCCAGCTTTGGGGAGGGGGAAGTGGAGGATGAGTTTGAACAACCAACGATGTCCTTTGAGTCGTACCTCAGCTACGACCAGCCCCAAAAGAAGAAGAAGAAAGTGGTCAAACCTTCTGGACCAGCTGGGGAGAAAGACCGAGGGCACAGCAAACAGAACGGATCCAAAGCCAGCACCAACAGCTCGAGCTCGAGTCGGAAAAGTCCAAGCCACAAGCGAACAAGTGAGAAGAAAGCAGAGAAGAAAGTACCAGAGTCTCCTAAACCAAAGAGGGTAAGGCTGGGAGGGCGTTGAAGCATCTGAAAGTGAACAAAGGAGGTGGGAGCAGCTGCTCCTGGTCCTGCAGGCGTTGCTGTGTGCTGTTGGAGTGGGACTCCACTGGAAAAGTGGGTGAAGAGGGAGGGGAGAAAAGCAATAGGCAAAATGCATTTATACAAAAAGGGAGAGTAAAAGAGAATAAGGATGCTGGGGAGGTTCAAACTCAAACAGGGGAAGTTTAGATTGGATATAAGGAAGAAGCTCTGCACTGGGAGGGTGCTGAGGCACTGGAATGGGTTGCCCAGGGAGGTTGTGATTGCTCCATCCCTGGTGGTGTTCAAGGCCAGGTTGGACAGAGCCTTGGGTGACCTGGTTTAGTGTGAGGTGTCCCTGCCCGTGGCAGGGGGGTTGGAACTGGGTGATCTTAAGGTCCTTTCCAACCCAAACTATTCTATAATAACTTTAGCTAAATATTTTGCCATTCATTCTAGTAAGTGCCTCAGGTGAGAGGCCTAGGTTTCTTTTAGTTCATGAGGTTCCTCTCTCTACCACCACTGCAGTCTTTTTGCAGGAGGTGGGAATGAGAAGAGACAGAACAGGTAAATGAGCGTTTGAGATCAAGGAACTTTCTGCCAGCCTTCTCTTCCGTGTTTTCTCTAGTTCTTTGCACTGTGAATCTCACTTAGGTTCTTGCCAGAGGCCTTCAGCACTGAGCCGAGTAGGTTAAAGATATTCATGGCTCTTACTGGAGAGAGCTGAGTGATTCAGGTCCCAGATTTTGGCTGCTTTGCCTACATGGAGCCACAGTGATGTGGCAGAAGTGCAGGCCCCCTGAGGCTGTTTCCTGATGCAGGCAGTGTTGAGTGGCTTATACAAAACACAACCCAAATGCAGCTCAGTGCTGTCTGTACACCAGGAGGATGTAACATTCTCATGTGCTCTTGGCTTACTTGCATGTACCTCCTCTCCTTGCAGATACTTTTAGATGTGGTACCAACGTTACCAGAGATCCCACTGCCTCCAATCCAGGCCAATTACCGCCCTCTTCCTTCAATCGAGTCCATTACCTGCTCCCAGACCAAAAGGAAAGGTATGTTGGCCAGGAAAGGAGGTTTGAAGCAGGCTGCAGCCATCAGTTGTGGGAGGGAGTGGGAGCAGCTGCTACCTGGCTTCAAGTCTTCCTACTGGGGTCTGGTGTCTTGCCTCTGGTGCCCAGAGCTTTCCAAAGGTGGTGGTTTTCCCATGTGCTCTTCCATTGGGAAGATCCTTTGCTGACCCTTCTTGCGGCTTGGGCTTTGGGGTTGCCTTTCCTGAAACTAGTTGGCAGGTCTCTTGGAGAAGCCTTAGCCCTTTAGGTTGCTTCTGGGTGACTCCCAGTTTGTGTCTGCTGTGCCATTCATAAGGGTGAGCTCTTCTCCCTGTTCCCTTCTTACTCCAAGTCTTTGCCTTTGCAGCAGTGTCCTCGCCGGTTGAAGAGAGTGAAGCGGGTTTCACAGGGCGCCGGTTGAATTCAAAGATGCAAGTGTATTCAGGCTCTAAAACTGCCTACCTCCCCAAGATGATGTCTCTGTATCAGCAGTGCATCAGAGTCCTCAGTAACAACATTGACTGTGAGTACACTTCCTCATCTGTGTGGCTCACGTTGCCCCGCAGGCACACTGAAGTCTTGGTGACTTGTTTGTACATATCCCAGCAGTTGATGTGAAGCCCTCCCTGTCACAAGGCATCCTAACTGCTGTGGGACAGAGCTGTCTCAAAGCTCAGGTGCTGCAGGAGGCAGCAGTCCATGTGCTTGGGGGAGTGCTGAAGCACTGGAAGTAGTGGCCAACAGAGCCATTTGGAGTTCCTGGTCCCTGATGACTTGTTAGTGCTGTTGCACTCATGATTCCTTTCTCCTTCCCCTCGTACTGCGTAGTTCCGTGCAGCGCTGCAGTTTCCTCCGCTGCATTTCAAGGTGTCAAACCCTTTCCTCAGCAAGGAAGGAGGAGGGTAAATACATTGTGCATCTTGCTTCTCTCTAGCAATCTATGAAGTGGGTGGTGTCCCTTTCTCGGTGCTGGAGCCAGTATTGGAGAGATGCACCCCAGAGCAGCTGTACCGCATTGAGGAATGTAACCATGTGAGTGCCTTGGCCTGGGGAGGTGACGGTGACACGCGGGAGTGGTTCTGTCCTCATCTGCAATAGCAGAACAGTAAAGAACAATGCTCTGTTCAACAAGAGGTGGCTTTTGCTGTCCTGACCTCCTGGATTTGCCATCTGCCCATCTCTTGCTGCAAGCAGGCTCCTCTGTGGCATTCCAGTGACTTGGCACTACCTGGCGCTGAGGGAGAGGGGAGTGAAGGTGTCGGGAGGGATCCCAGCTCACGGGTGGGTTTGCTTCAGGTCCTCATCGAGGATACGGATCAACTGTGGCACAATCACTGTCTGCGAGACTTCAAGAACGAGAAGCCAGAGGAGTTTGAGTCCTGGCGGGAGATGTACCTGCGCCTGCACGACGCGCGGGAGCAGCGGCTGCTCATGTTGGCGCGGAACATCGGCTCCGCTCATGCCAACAAACCCAAAGGTAAAGGGGGGGCTGAAGGAGCAGAAAGGGGGCTGGGGACATCTCCTGGGCAGTGTCTTTGTGTGGGGAAGGTCTTTGGGACTGACTGGTGTGGATCTAGTCCAATAGAGGAGTTGCTTGGCTCTCTGGTCTTACGTGGTGGCCTTTGCTCCACGGTGCCACAGACCCTCGATTTCATCCATCGAGGTGGTGACGCAGACCAGAGAATGCTCTACAGCAAGAATGTGCAGGGCTGCAGAGGCACCTCCTCTTCTAGAGCGGCTACTCCTTCAGTGCTGGGGCTGAAGAAAACCATGGTGGGAGAAAGCATTCCTGCTCTTTGATCATTGGTGATCATTGTGAGAACTGCTGACATGATCAGTCTGATTTCTCACAGCCTGCGTTGTCACAGCAAGAGGTTCAGACCTTAGGGAGGAGGCTATTGCCAGAGCTTTGAAATGGGTGGACTGGGGAGAGCAGGCTGGAGTTTGCTGTGGTAAGACAGTAAGTTGGGTCTGAGCAGTGTTTCCCTCTGGTCTCCTACAGGTAGAGTGGCCAAAATGGCATTTGTGAACTCTGCAGCAAAGCCCCCTCGGGATGTACGAAGGAGACAAGAGAAGTTTGGAACTGGAGGACCTCTGCTGCCGGAGAAGACAAAGTGAGTGTTGCTCAGGAGCACTTGCTGCTCAGGGCCTCTTTTGCTGGCAGCTCCCACTCTGCAGCAATGCATCCTGGCAGGGAAGGATTCTGTGTGTTTGGGAGGTCCTTGTAACTTGTAATAGCCTCTTCCTTGCTGGGAATTGTGGAGATCCTGGTCACTGCTTGTTCCATGTGGTAACACGGCTTGTGTCTGAAGAATTGCATCAAACCACAGTGAGTCCTTTTCTGAAATGCCTGCCCCATCTCTGTTCCAGAATAAAACCAGTCCTGTACACATCTAGCAAAAGCCACACTCGTGTGAGTGAGGAGCAGTCCTATGATGGGCCCAGCACCAGCAGTGCCCATTCTGTCCCATCTTCAGGTAGCACCTTCTCCTCCTACGACCCCAAGAAACCACCAGTGAAGAGTAAGTACAAACTGCACAACAACCCTGTGGTCTCCTTGATCTCTTCCTTTACAAACACACAAATCTATTGCTTCTGCTGTAGGGAAATCCAGGCTGTGTGGGAGGGTTGTTGCTGGTGGCCTCTCTCCCCTCCCTAAGGAGAGGGCGATAAAGTCTGTTCAGACTTCTTGCACAGGGGATCATCTCATTCACCTTCCTGCTCAGTGCTGGCTGCATCAGCCTGCCCTGATGGTACCGGTGCAGCAGAAACCCTCCCTAGTCCCTCCTGCTGTCCCTCTGTGTCTGTCCAGCTGTTTGGAACACTGACACTGTAGTGCAGCTCCCTTTGGGAAGGAAGCAGGGAGAGTTGAACTGGAATTCTCTCTTCTTGCCATGCAGAAAGCAGCTTTGAACTGCTCTCTGCTCTCCCAGCCTGTGACTGCTGTTTTCCTGTGGGTTTTTCTTGTTTGATTGTTTTTTTTTTTCCTTCCTCTGTTGCAGAAATTGCACCCATGATGGCAAAGACTATCAAAGCTTTCAAAAACAGGTTCTCTCGGAGATAAGCTTGCAGTGCAGATCTGGGACTTGCCCTCTGGTGGGGAGTGGCACTGAAGGGGGAGAAGGTACTCACAGCCCTTTTCCTTGAACTCTTTGGAGGCTGCAGCTGCTGGGAGAAGCTTTGATCTGCACAAGACAACAGCACAGTATTTTATCTTCTATTCTGGTCCCTTTCTCAGTGTCAAGCCCCCTCTTTTCCACCTGCCCTTAACATCCTGTTTCTGGCTTTGTTGTCCGTCAAAAGGAGGGTGTACAAAACCTCCCGACACAAGAAAATGTGAAGTCTTGGCACCTGCTGAGAGTGGAAGATCAGAGACTATTTACTATTTAACCTCTTCATAAATTATAAAATGGTTTTAATTAATATTTTGCCCCCTCTCCCACTGGTATTTATGTTGCTCCCAGGAGTCTTCCCCCTCCTGATGCAGTGCGAGGGTCAGCCTCTCTGTGGCTCCATCTGGCCGAGTGGACACTGGGTGTCCTTCCTTGTGATCTGGCACCTCCTGGGCTCCCTGGGACAGGCAGCACCCATCTGCTCACTGCTCTTTTGGCAAGTGTGTCAAGTCCTGAGGCTTTGCTCTCTGCTTGTGTCTCTTAATCTTTGCTCTTGACCTTCTCTCTGCTGTTACTGTAGATCTTGTCCGGATGCTTACATTGTTGTGCAGGGATGCCAAGAGCCACTGGGGACTTTTTCCTCTGCTGCTGCTGTTGTCTTCTGCTGGGAATAAAACTACAAAGGGCTTGGGGAGAAATCTTCCTGTGCACCAAGTCAGATTTTAACGTCTTTTTCCTTTATTTTTACTCCTTTTAATTGAGAAGGTTACAGGGGACTTGGCCTCTGGAATTGGAAGCAGTTTTTAAAGATCAATGAAGGCATCAATTTGCCTCTTTTAGTAGGAAGAAGGAATATTTTTATCACGTTTCCTGTGTGCAATTGGGAAGGATTTATTTCCATTTTAAATCCTGGCTATTCCCTGTATGTCTGCCCCCACTTTGGAAAAAGCAAGGGTTTTAGTCTTGGAACCTAAACCCACTTGCATAGTGTTGGAGGGAAGTGAATAACGGAACGCGGTTTGTGTTTAACGTGTGTATGAGTGGTAGCAGGAGTTGAGGAAGGGGTTGTACCTGGTGTCTGAGGGGCTGGAGCTCTGTGGCCCCTGGGTGTGGGCCGTTGAGCCTGATTGTGGTGAATGCTTCCACTTTTGGGTTACAAAAATGACCTCACCAGAGGTGGTGTGAGCAGGGGATGGAGCTGGGCAGACCCAGGTGGTGCAGGGGCAGGCGGCAGCACTGTCAGGGCTCAGAGATCCGACTGAGTCAGAAAGGGGAGAGGTTCTCCTGGTCCAAGCCATATTTGCTGCCCTGGGATTGTGCTGTCGAGGTGGAAAAGGTGTCGATGGTGGATGCTGTTGCTGCTGGCTTTGTGTGGCTGCCAAATGCTGAACCAGTGGAGTTGTCTGTGCACTGACTGGGGCACCTTGCTGTGCTCCCCATAGGGCTCTAGAAAAATCCCTGTATGCTTCTGGTTTCTGTTGGATCCTGTGTTTGCTTTCCTCCTTTTTTGTCTTTCTTTAAACCCATTCTGCACACTTGCCTCTTTGTTTGGGCTTTCCTTTCCTTATTTTGAAGGTCTTGGAAAAATGTTCTCAGACTCTCACGTGCTGTAAGTTGGTTACAGTCCCAGATGCTTTAACGTTCCCGTGCAGCATTTCAGTGTGTGTTGTGCTGTAAAATAATGGCTCCTTACTCTTGCATTTTTGCTGTATTTAATTTTGCTGTATTTTTAATTAGATAACAATATATTATCTTCTGCTGACCGTTGTGCTACCGTTTATTTCTCCTCTGTACTTTGGGTTAGGGGCAGAGGGGGAGGGAAGTGGAGTCTGGTGTCATGGCCAGACCCTAAGGGAGCCTTGAGCAGAGGAGGTGGGCATTGCTAAACTGCCCCTTGATGAACACTACAGGAGCCACTCGGATGTGATACTGCCCAAAGCATTGCTGGTACAGGGTGATGCCCCTTCCCTCTCAACCCTGGGCTTTGCTGCCTGTGTCTCTGTGTTGCAGCTTGGCTGGATGGCAGGGAGGGGGCCAGAACTGAGGTAGGTGCCCGGGGTGTTACTTGTGCAATTCCCATGTGCTCCACACACACACACACGCATACGAAGGACCGGAGCAGAGCTGCCTCTTCCCCCTTCGCCACGCCGCGGGCAGGAGCGGGGTGACTTTGACTTGCATTTGTATTTTGGTCCCTAACTGTGTACATACACTTTTCTATGTTCCCTTTTTTTTGTGGTAACTAAGATGAATATTTTAATTAGATAAGTTATATGAAAAGCCGAAAATCATGTCTCAATAAAAGCCAAACACTGGACCCTGCCTGCTTGTTCTCTTCTGTCTCTGAGCGGTGTTAGGTACCGGTGCCCGCGGGAGGGTGCTGCTCCCGGTTGCAGCCAGAGGCGGGTCCTGCCGCGCCGCTTCCCCTAACCCGGTTTACCGGGACCGAGCACCTCCCGGCCGCTGGGCGGCGCTGTGCGGAGCTCGGCGCAGGCGCGGTGCTCGCGGTGCGGTGATGGCGCACGGGCCCGGCCGCTGCCGCTGCTGCGGGGAGGAGGCGGCGGCGGGCGGCGGGGAGCGCGGCGCGGCCTGGGGGCTCTACCTGCGCATCGACCGGCAGCGCCTGCAGTGCCTCAACGAGCGCCGCGAGGGCAGCGGTGCCCTCGTCTTCAGAGCTTGGGAGGAGCGCGGCGACCGAGCCAAGGTGGGGCTGCACCGAGGAGGGAAGGAGCGGCCCTGGGACCCGTTCTTGCCCCCGCGGGCCGGGCCTGACCCGCTCCTCTCTCCTTGCAGTTCGTGGAGAGCGACGATGACGAGGAGCTGCTGTTCAACGTCCCGTAAGTGCCCTCCCCGCGCTGCGCGTCCCTCGGCCGGCAGCGTCGTAAGCGGGGCCGATCCGAGGGGAGCAGAGATGGAACGGGCGCTTCCGCCTCTCCCGGCAGGTTTACGGGCACCGTGAAATTAAAAGGAGTGATTGTGATGGGAGAGGACGACGGGAGCCACCCAGCAGAGATGAGGCTGTGAGTGAAACCAGCCTGAGCTTTGCTTAGCCTCAACTGAGCTGATCACCTCGTAGCTAATGAAAGCAGTGAGTGTGTGCAGTGCGGGGGGACCAGGCTGTGCTGAGCCCCGGGGCCTGGCTCTCGAAGGGACAAAAATCCTTATTAATACTGTCCCTTTCTCAGTAGAAACGAGAGTACTGAGTGCTCTGCAGCTCCTGCTTGTGGGGGGTGGAAATACGCCTTTATCAAGCCAACAGTGTCCTCTGTGCTCCACAGACATGGATGTGAAGCACTGGCAGGGATCACCTTGTGCATGGAGGTTCCTGAGCAGAAGTGCCAACACTGGCTGTAGCTGTAATTACAGCTTTCTACTGGGGCAGTTGTCCTGGTTTCCTTTGGTCTCCATGTGTCTTGGTTGCTCTGTGTACCCCAGCGTGCTGAGATCTGCATCCCCCCAGCTTTTTTCCTCGCTCTTCCCTGTTGTTTCTTCAGGGTGTTGGGTATTCTGGAATGATGCTTTGTGGTGGCGTTGGTATTTTCCCCCGTAGAAGACAAAGCAAATCCAGTTTCTTATTATTGAGAAGAATCCAGGTAGTGCTAATGGATGGGGAGGAAGGCAGTTGGCTGACGTGCATGTTAATAACTTCCTGGGTTTCCTTCCTCTCTTCCCAGCTTCAGGAACATTCCTCACATGTCCTTTGATGACGCAGCCAGGGAACCAGAGCAAACGTTCAGCTTGAACCGGGACCCGGCAGGCGAGCTGGAGTATCCCACCAAGTACGACACTGGGCTCGGCGGGGGGAATGTTATCTCTGGCCCATGGGTGCACCACCAGGCTTTAGGGACGTGTTAGATGGGGGCAGATCCTTCCCTTGCATCCCAGCGCTGCTCACAGTGGAATCTGCCATCCTGTCCTTGTCAAGTGAGAGGCAGCAGCAGCGTGCCTGTCCTGTCAGGACTCCTCGGGATGTGGAATCATCCCAGTTGTGTCCCTGCTCCCGGGCTCTGTGCCAGCTCCTCGCCACCCCATTCCCTGCCGCATGAGGGGAGCTGCTCCTGCACCCTGGGGTCCATGCTCCTAGGCCTGAGGCGCACTCGGTGCCTTGGTGCCGCAGTGCAGGGAGGTGCTGGCACCACAGGATCCTGCCCACACAGCTCCAGTTTCAGCGTTTTCTTTCAGAATTGCCCGTTTCTCCAATGTTCACCACCTCTCCATCCACTTCCCGAAGAACTTCGGAGCAGAGACAACGAAGATCTTTTACATAGGCCTGAAAGGAGAGTGGATGGAGGTGAGCAAGAGCAGAGGTTGAACAACGCTGCTAAGAGCGTAAAACTAGCTTTAAATTACAGCCGAAGCTGGGCTGTGGTGGTGAGGACGAAGTGGGGGGGGGGGGGGGGGCTGTGATGGCCGGTGCATGGCAGGACCCAGCTCAGCGCTGGCCAGCCGGGTGTTTTAGAAGGGACTTGAATTCTGCCCTCCTTTGGCCTGACACGGTTAACGTTAACGCAGGCTCATCGCCACGAAGTCACCATCTGCAACTACGAAGCCTCGGCAAACCCCGCGGATCACCAGTTGGAGCAGTTCACCCCCCAGACTCACTTCATCTCCTGACGGCGCCGCCGGGAGCCTCCCCGGTGCAGAGACAACGGCTGGGCCGGACCCACCCCTCCTGCATCCCGCAGTGTGGGATCAGCGCCGTGCCTGGGGCCGAGGGTGCGTGGTGCCGGTGCAGGCGGAGGCTGCGGCTCCCGGCCGTTCGCTCCGCTTTGGTTCCGGTGCTTCTCTGACTGAATAAACCGTGCGCGGAGCCGGGTCCCAGCCTGTGTGTGTGCGGGGGGGGGGGGCAGCGGCCGTGCTCGGGGCCTCGCCGGCGGCAGACACGGGACGTGAGGCGGGGGGAGGAGGAGCCGCTCCCCGGTGCACGGAGCTACCTCAGAGCGCCTCCGCCATCATGGCCGCCCCCGGCGGGCCGGCCGGTGCGTCACTTCCGCCGCGACCCGGCGGCCGGAAGTTCCGGTGGGAGCGCGTCAGGGGGAGCCGGGAGGAGAGCGCGCGCCGGGCCCGCGGGAGAGGTGCGGGGGGGGGGCGGGAAGTACCACTGGGGGGTGGCGGGGGGGGGGGAGAGGTCAGCGGGGGCGCAGCTGCGGGGGCTCCGCGTTCACACCCCTCCCCCCCCCCCCCCCCCCGCCCGTTGTGGTTCCGGCCCCGAGTGGGTCCCGGCGCCCTCCGGCCTCGTGGTGGGCGCGGCGGGGGAGCGGTGCCGGTACCGGGGCCGCGCTCGCAGGCGGCCCTAAGGGGATCACCCCCAAAGCCCGGCTTCCTCCTCGCGGGGGAGGCCGAGCCCCGGCCCGCTTCAGGCGGGCTTTGAGGGTTTCCGGCTCCCCGGGCCTGCGGGAGAGGCCGGGGCACTTCAATAACGAGTCGGGGCCGTGGGGCCGCGCTGTTGGTGTGGGGCTGGGCTCGGGGTCCCCGGCTCAGTACGGGTACGGGGGGGGGGGCGGCTTTGGCCTCGGGGCTGCGAATCCCTTGGGAACGGGGCAGAGCCGCCGGAGCCGGGGTTGCGGGCGGGGGCTGTTCCCCGCCGGTTGCGTTGCCCCGGGAGTACACAGGAGCACGTGGGCTGCGAGCGCCGCCGGAGCCCGTTGGTCCCCGCGGTTCGGGGCCGGCACTGAACGGGGCCGGGCTGCGGGAGGAGGCGGCTGTTGCGTTGGGTGAGCCTGGCGGCGGGGTGCCGGTGGCACCGTCCCATCCGAACCCTGTGGGGATTGGGGCTTGCTGTGAGGCGGGGAGACTGGAGCGGACCCGAGGCGGGGATCGTGCTCCGTGGGGCGACGGCAGCGCTGTCACCGCGCTCTGATCGCATCAGTGCTGGGCGGTAAGCGGGGGGTCAGGGGCTGCCGCGTGGGGAGCAGGGATCTGGGCCGGACCGGGAGCGAACGCTGCCGGGTTTTGTGTCCAAAGGCGGTGTCGTGCGTGGGGACTTCAGCTCTGCCAGAGCTGCCTGCCCCGGGAGTGAGCGTGGTCTGCGAGGTGACAGCCGGACCGTGGTGCTGCAGGAGGTGGTGGTGGTGGTGGGGACAGCAGCAGTGGGGACAGCAGCCATGGGGACAGCAGCCATGGGGACAGCAGCAGTGGGGACAGCAGCCATGGGGACAGCAGCAGTGGGGACAGCAGCTTTGGGGACAGCAGCCTTGGGACAGCAGCCATGGGGACAGCAGCAGTGGGGGCAGCAGCCGTGGGACAGCAGCAGTGGGGACAGCAGCCATGGGGACAGCAGCCGTGGGACAGCAGCAGGGGGGACAGGGATGCCATCGCCTGGGGGGGGCACAGGCTCTGGGTGCCAGCACAGGGCTGGGTTCAGGCCAGCGTCTGAATGCTCTGATTTATCCCTAAACGCTCCATAAAAGAGGGCTGGCCCTTCCACTGGGGCTGTAAAGCCCGCGCTGCTGCTGCTTCCTGCTTCGTGGTGCGAGCAGATGTGGGTCAGGCTCCTCCTCGGCTCCGGGCACAGCGGGGAGGAGATGCTGAGGCTGCGCGCGGCCCGGCCACCCTCTGCCCACGCCGTTACCATCGCAGGAACAACTTTGGCTTTGAGGTGTAACAGCAAGAGCTAATTTTAACGCTCCCCACGCTCATCCCAGCTCGCACGCATCTGGTGGTGCTGCAGCAGGGGAAGTGTTTGCTGCTTCCTGCCTCTCCAGCCTTGCTGGGCCCACAACAGAGCGGGGCTGCCCCAAGGGCTTTAAACATCAAAGCCCTCCTGTAGTCTTTAATCTTCCCCTCAACGCCTGGTCCCTCTGGAGCAAAAAGCTGCCGGGGCAGGGGGAGAGGAGTTTCTTTTCCTGCCTTACCCTTGTCGCTCTGTCCTGCAGGTGCCAGTGTCTGAGTCCCTCTCGGTGTATGTGTGGTAACAACATGTCTGTCCCCCTCCTCGCTGACGCAGTGACTGTCTCAGGGGCAGAGCGGGAGACGGCCGCGGTAAGGACCAGGCTCCTCGCGTTGGCTTCTTCCCTTGTAGCAGCCTTGAGGATCACAGCTATTCCCGTGGGGCTCAGAGGAGCTGGGAGCGGAGCCGGCGATCCCTCGGCATTATGGATGTGCATCAGAGGGGATGCGGGACCAGCGAGGTCCTGTCTTGCTGGGGAAAAGGAGCTGCTCTTTGGGCTGGGCTGTTTGTTTCTGGTGCTTGCTCCAGCATGGGCTTAGCATGCGGGGAAGGCAGTGAGAGTCAGGTCTCATTTGGCTGTTTAAGCTCTCAAAGGCAAATCCCCCCAAAGAAAATCCTCTGCTCCCCGTGGCTTAGGGGTTGCCCTA